ATTTTATTATTTTTTTTTCTTAGCGTTTAGTGTGTAATTTTCTGTGAGTCCCAACATCGCCCTCTGCTGTCTTATGCCTGCAAGAGCCACACAAGTCAGCCAGAGCCTGGCAAAAAGCAGTACGGGTGAAAACAGAAGCTTTGGGGAAGGCTTCAAGAGGAGTTCAAACCAGAGTAGACATAATGATAGTGAAGAAAGGTGAGGAACCAACGAACTCCAACTCCATCCATTTCAGTACCAATACCATGCAAAGCAGTATAAACTGTCAGGTTTCTCTGCCGATCAGGGCCTCATGTCTAGAAGCTGCAGTAGTCCAGAGCAGCAGGTCTGGTTTGCACACTGGTGCATGGGATGAATTAGACAACTAGGACAAATTATGGCTTTTTTTTTACTATTTCATTCCCTGCACATTAGGGAAATTGTCTTTCCAAAGAGGATGGTGAAGCACCCAAGGTACCACGAGTGCATTAAGAGAAAAAAGGCAACTAATAAGAAGAAATGACTGAAGTTTTAGATCAAGTTAATATATTTCCCACCTTTGAACCTGGTGGACCAATGTTGCCTCCTTCTCCCTGAAACAGAGACACAGTAAGGCTCAAATATCAAAATGAACAGTAATCACAAGGATTTTAAACATGTTTTACTTTCCTTGCAAACAAACAGACTGAATGGAGTGAAATTATTAGTAAAAATAGGACATTTTTTTGGTAAAGTGACGCTCAGCATACATTTGTGAATTGGTTCTGGTGGTTTTATCTCCCAGTTGCCACCCACATCTTAGTTTCTGGTCACCACCCATGATTTTTGTTGAGCATCTACCAAGCCACACTCCTGAACTTTCATTTTGGTGTCTGAAATCAGCACACGGTAACATTCCCCACGTCTACCAATGCCACAATGATTTTGTGCCTCCACAAATGACCCACCATCTTCCTTAAACACAATTAACTCAGCCTACACCACACTACTGCTCTCCCCATCTACCCAGCCACTCTGTCATAACATGAGCAATGTAATGAGTGGTGCACGGTTCCACATTCAGGCCTGATTCTGCAGTACTCTAGCTCTGAGTAGACATGATTCCTTGATTTCACTACAGACAGAGAACTTGCAATTTAGTTTATTTCATATGAGATAGAGAATATAAACATGAATAAATCAGTAAGGAGCTACAGCCATTGCCTCAAATGTTATTTTTATGCTTCCTGTCTAAAAGACAGGAGTGCTTATACTCATGAATGCATGAAGACTGTTAGACTGTTTTTTAATGAAAATAGTTTTCATAATAATAGTGAAAACAGAATTTGGATCTATACTTACTTGCTAAGAAAAAGAGAAAAATTTGATCACAGCAGGCCTTCTCTGGCAGCTCTACTAGTCTGGGGTATTTGATGGACAAGAATGTATGAAACATAACTATGTGTTAAACTACACATGATGTATGAGCTCTTAGTTTTTGGAAGTGAGTGGTTGTTATGTTTTGCCACTGTTGCCTAGTGAAGTCATTTATAACCATGAAAAGTGGGTGTAAAATTCATCCCCGTGACAATGGTAGTGTGTTATAACCACTTTCTATTAATTTTGCTGTAGGGTACCTGATTTTGTAAGACGTCAGGCAATAATGTGTTCCTTTCTGTGTCTCTGTGACCTTGGGGATGAATGACTCAAGATTAAACAACTAAAATCTTAGTGTAGGTGGTGGTGAAGTCTCTTGGCCAAGGTTGATGACTATCTTTTCAGTCCCAGCACAGTTCCTAAATGCTGGGAATCATGCTTACCTCCATTTCTGAAGTCTTTGTGAAACAGTATTTGCACCATACTTTAGAACCAAAATTTCCAGTTAAGGGCAGAGAATAAATTTGTAACAATATATATATTTTAAGCATGGACACTCGGCATGTCCATAAAGCAGCATCATGTGATAGCATGTCTATTCTAGACAGTCTTTTGCAGTATCATTCACTAACACATGCTGTGCAAATACTTGAATTTTTCACTCATAAATAATGTTGTTCTCCAGCATTAACAGGAGCAGTACCCAATGGAGAGACTTTATCAGCCCTATAATCGGATGTGTATAGACCCTAGTTGTAGAGGTCTGGCCAGATACGAATTTGCCCTTTTTTTCTGTTTTTTTTTTTTTAATCTCTGCATTTTTTTCTCATGGGTTACTTAACTAATAGCAGCATCAACGTGGAAAAATTCAGTCACTACTGAGCTCAAATAAAAACCAAGGCATAGTAGTCATGGCATCTCCCTTCTTTCTCTCAGCATCTTCTAGAACATTTTCCTATCGCTTTCTGGGATCATGCCAGAAGGTCTCTTTCTGCAGGTTTCTCTTTCAACAGCGTATGTGTAACCTCTTGGAAACCAGAACGGTGTATAAATAAACAACAAAGAGAAACTACCAAATGTCCTAAAAAATTTAAACAAAAATGCACCAAGTACCTTGGAATGTAATGGCTCAGCTGATACTTGCTCACTGTTCTGGTGTGGATGTAAAATAGTTCTATTAATACACATTCTGAGTGGATACACAGTGTGAACAGGAATAACATTAGTCCCATACTTAGTCAGTATATGAATGTTAAACAAAAGCTGTTTTGTTAAGGCAAATTCTGGGAATATAGAAAAAAAATATAGGCAAAAGCAAAATAGGTTAGCTTTCAGGTGTTCCTTGTTGTACAGGATACCTTCAGTCCTAATGGCCCACTCTGTCCATGTCTTCCTGCAAAACCCTATAAAATTACATTGAATTTACTGTGAAGTCCACATAGCCTTTCATAACAAATTTTCTCATAAAAAACCCTAATTCATAAACCCAACAAAAACCCAAAAAACAATGTTGGAGACCAGTAGTATCAATGGAGAGTAATAAAATGTAAGCACTGTTTTAGAGTTGTTGTTCTAATAAATACTGCCATGCTCTACATTATCATGCAAAGATCTAAAGATCTTTTTTCTTTCAAAGACAACTTTAATCTTCTCACTGCATACTATACATATTTTTAGAAAATATGAGAAATAAAGCTGTTCAAGTGCATTTGTTGCAAGGGATTGCTTTCAATGGCATACAATTTTTTTAATTTGCCTCCTTGGCTAAAATTAGGATATGTGATGAGTTTAAAGACAACATGGTGTTGTCTTGCTGGGTTTAAAAGTAGCTTGAAACAAACATTTGGGGATGCAAATCCCTCTCTTGTCTCTATATGGTGACATGAGTTGTAACATACAATTATGACTCTGATGGTAAAATGAACAACAGTTCATTATCAATCATTTTAGAAAGTTGAATGGAAGAAAAAGAATTCGACAGAGTGATTGAGTTTTCTTCTACCATAACTGAAGGTCATCATCATCACTTTCTCCAAATTTGGGTAGCAAGATTTAGTCTGTCAAAGCTATGCTTTGAAAGTTTGAATGTTTCTTTTGGACTGAGTGCAGGGGCAGGACTTCTGAAGACCAAACTAGAACAATGCAGACAGCTCTGGGAGAAGGAATGCTGGATAATTGCCTGCTTTAGGGAAGGCACCACAGGCTGCATTTTTGATGTTATTGCTGAGAATAAGGATAAATCTAAATGTTCTGGTAAGAACTGATGCATTGTATTCCCATATTCCCTACTTGGTGTTTTAAGGCAGCCCACACTACCAAAAATCTCCTAAGACACAGTGATAGAGGAAAAAACATCCCTTATTCTGGGACATTGCTTCCACACTCCTGGGAACATTTCTTTAGTTTAAAAGTGGCATTTCAGATTACGCACATTTGATTGTTAAACTATGACATTTCGATTTCAGTAATATATGTAATTCATCTTCATAAACAAGAAGGGCATCTGTAAGGGTAAAACAGGAAATAGAGAGCTAGATAATAATAATAAAAGAATATTTTATCCTTTGCCCTCTCAAAGCAGAATCTAAAATCATCACCTAACTAGGCATCAGAGAAATATCATTCAGATTCTTTGGAGGACACAGTTATTGTTATGGTATTCTAAAGCAATTGCATCCCATGCAGTGACTCCAAATCTACAGCTGACTGGGGCTCTCTGTTTTCAAAAAGCAGAGAGCAGGACACGAAAAACAACTTAAAAACCAAGCAATGTTCCCTTCTTCCAAAGCATCCACTTACCTTTGGCCCTCTTGATCCTGGAATTCTGGATTCACTTAATGGGTCAGTGCTACCTGATCCTTCCATGTCCTAATGCAAGAGAAAAAAACACTATAGAATTTGTCATTTGGTTGGTTTGTTTGCTTTGGTTTGTTTGTTTTGTTTTGTTTTGGGGTTTTTTTTTTGTTTGTTTGGTTGGTTGGTTTTTTGTTTGTGGCATTTTTTTTTGTTTGTTTTCCCAACTACTCTGTTTTGTGGAGTCCTGTAGAAAGCTGGAAAGATACTGAACAGAAATATATTCGTCTTTTCTCATGAACCCTTTTTTGACCAATATATGATATTCTGGAGATAGGCTCTGCTCAAATGCAATAAGGACATGTTGATCTCCCTTACAGAAACTCTGGTCTTTACAGTCTTGCCAATTTACCAATCCATGTCAGAACCAGGAGCTGCCAGTTCTAAAGCAGCCAAAGAAATAAAATTGCAGACTGCTGTAATAATCTGTTTTATCCCCAGCACCACCACAGCCATATATTCCTTTACCTTGCCTTATTCTTGATCTAGAATTTGTCAGACTGTACTTCAAACCATTTGGATGAACCATGCCAGAAGGAAATTGTTCATTTGCTTTTAGCTGCAGTTTTAAATGCAGCTGCATGGGCTTAATTGTTTCTTTTTTTCTGAAAAGGGAAAATCTTGATCTTTCTTTGCTCCACTTCGCTGCTCACAGCCACACAGCCTTCATTTTCAACATCAGTGCCATGTGTTTAATCCTCTCACTTTGTGTGAGTCACTTTAAATCACGTAAATGGCAGAAAATACTTTACTTTTTGAGGGTGGGATGGTTCTCTGGAATGTTAGTAAATTAAATTGGCTTGTGGAAGTATTGATGGAACACTGGATGTTAGTGCTTGTGAAGGGCAGGCATGTGCCAAGAATGGCTTTAGCTAGTAGCAGTAGCAAAGCAGAATCTCTTCCTCTTAGTGACAATGAGACCTTGTATCAGCTTATCATGTTTAGAGATCCTATACTTCTTGCCTACTTAGCTTTTTGCTAGTTAGTGACTTGAAATGGCTCAGATTACCATAGGTCTGATGCACTCTGGAGATGGTGTCAAGGTAAAGGTGGAAGACCAATTAGATCAGCTTATGCTGCTATGGAATGACAACCTAATGCCCAAGTTATGGAAAACATCAACAGATCTGACTCCAGTGAAGAAGTCTTTTGCCCCTTCTCATCAACTCCATGAGAGCAAAAATAAAAGAAGCAGAAAGAGTGCACAGCTGGAATCAGGTCCTTCCTTTCAAGGACCATGGTGGGAGACATTGAGTCATCAGATTGGTTAAAGTCCTTTCATGCAACTCCACCTGAGACTGAATTATTCAGACTTCTATTTTGCTTCTCCAACAGCTATCGGTGTGTCAAATATCAATACATAATCTGCTGATATTTTTGCCCTGTTTAACTAAATACTTGCTACTTATATTAAACCACAAGCTATGCTTCTGAGTCCTTCTTTCCCTTGCTTGTCTGTGCCAATATATTTTTCCCTTTAAGTGAGTGCTTGACACTTGCTTTGTATTACACACCATCGCTTCTGACATCTGCATGTTTTTAATGGGTTTACCAGGTACCTTCTGCAGCTCAAACTGTTTTTTTGGCAAGCGTAAGTGCCGGCAAACCCCATGCCATTTGGTTTTTGCACATAGCTGATCACAGATGCTAACAAGTGCTAACAGGAATGTTTCACAGAAACAGCCTTACAGCAATAAACAGACTGCCAACCAAAAGGTAGTGTTGCCCTGATGAACTGGCAGACCAGAGTGCTGCCTTAACAGATGGCAGGGGTGAGCATCCAAAAGATCAGCTAGAACTAGCAAGCCTGTTAACAGTTATATTCCTCTCCGGGAAAAGACAATCATGCTAATTCTGTTTGGAATAGATGAAGTCCAAGATGAAGCCAGTCAAGATACTGCTACTGCAGTTAGAGCTGGGATCCTTCTGTGTTTGTGTCCGTAAAACTGGGGACTTCCTGTTTCCACTCTCTTCTGCTCATCTGCTAACTTTACTCCACTGAGACCTAGGTATCAGAACTGACAGAGTTTGGTCCTAAATACCGATGTACTGAGGAACTCTGGTGGCACAATGAGGCAAAGCTGCCTTCTACTCAAATAGTGTGAATGGGGAAGATGAGAATCTCTTAACACTGGATCCTCAAGGGTCACAGAAGATGACTCTAAGTCAGACAAGCCATCATCCTGGGCTAAAACTCAGACCAGGACTAGGATGAATATGTGGCTTACCATTGTCCTTATCTCCTTCGGAGACAAAGACATGTTTATTCAGGGGAAGAGTCTATACTAGCCTTTATGGTGCGCCTAAGTTAAGGCAATGGAGTGTTTGTATGCTCAGACTTTATGCTGTTCCTTGCTAACAATTACAGTGCTGGTGATTAAGAACTTGTGAAATGCTTGAGAGATTTTTCATTCATTAAAAGCCACTGACATCAGTGAGATTATTAACCAGTAATGAATACAGTACAACATTATTTAGTTGGACACCAGAAACCAGAATATGTCTCTGAACAAGAATTAGTGGTCACCTCTGTTCTTGGAGTACTTGAAGTGTCTCTAGAGTAAAGAAAAAAGAAATACAAAAGAGGCAAATCCTAGGAGAAATGTGTGAGTAAACTGGCATATTTTAAACATCACCACTTTACTGAAGCAGTTCTACAGATCGCCACAGTTTTGGTTGGACACTGTTTATTTCTCTGCTGAAACTGCCCTCAGTTTCTATGCAAACTTGTATTATACCCCATGATGTAAAAACAAGAAGACCCTGGAAAGACTTTCCTGAGCTAAACACCTAAATTACAAATGAAAAATGCATGGAAATATTAAAAAAAGGATGACTTACATGTCAATGCTGATACAGGCAATTTTCCAGCCTCTCTTCATAAATATGTTAATGCAGCAGCTATTGCTTTCGAACCTGAGTGTACTCCCTTTGCCTTTCTTTTCTGCAAAGCCACTTGCTGCTCCAAATTGAGCAGTTCTCAAAAGACATGTTAAACTCAGTTTGAGCTGGCCAGATGTCATATTTTAAAGTGATGAAGATACTTTCAGAAGCAGAAAAAGCAGCATCTGCAATTTATCATTTTTTGTTCTGGTTTTCCTTTTTTTTTTTTTGTTTTTTTTTTTTTTAATAGAACACTTTTCATTTGAGTAGAACAGACCATGAGGTCAGAAATGTCCAACATCTGTCTCTGTGTTTACGTGCTACGTAAGTGACATGCCTAAACTAAACTTGTAGCCTCAAGAATGACAGCGAGGGATGTCATAGCTTAAGGGGACCTGCGATTTGATTTCAACAAATACTGTCAGGTCTCTATATGTATTTAAATCATTGCTTTAAATTATTTACATGAAAAAAATAGTGTTGAAGTTTTCCCTTGTAGTGCAGTATTTGAGTATTTTATATTAGCAATGATATAAACATCAAAAATAGTATCTGATTGAATAGTTTCATGAAAATTGCCCCAATAAATCTATTAATTCCATAGTCTAGCATGGTCAATTATATGGTCAAATGTAAATGCAATTGTAGGCAAATTTCAATCTTGAAATTACTGTCATCTGTCATCAGTTCAGCTTCCTCTGAAGGAAGTAGATCCAAAGCTACTACAAACTCCATGACAGCAAAATACCTCAAATCCCAAACTGTAGCTCAGTCCTGGGGGTCCAGGAGGTCCAGGAGGTCCAGGGGGGCCAGGAGGTCCTGGTGGTCCAGGTTTCCCAGGAGACCCAATAGCACCAGCTTCTCCTTTAGGGCCTATTGATCCAGTGTCTCCAGTATCACCCTAAAATAAAAGGTCAATCTATTGGTAAACAGAACATGAATAAGTAAATGCAAGTAAGTAGAATCACAGAACCATAGAATGTTTTGTGTTGGAAGGGACGTGAAAGATCATGTGGATCCAACCTCCCTGCCATGGGCAGGGATACCTTTCTCAAAGCCCCATCCAACCTGGCCTTGAACACTTTCAAGGAGGGGGCATCCCTCTGATCATCTTCATGGCTCTCCCCTGGACCCACTAAAGCAGGTGCATGTCTTTCTTATGCTAGGGGTCCCAGAGCTAAACATAGTACTCCAGGTGCGGTCTCATGAGAGATGAGGGAAAAACCATCTCTCTCAACCTTTTGGCCACACTTCTCAGAGAAGTACAGTGGCTAGCTGAGAAGCCAAGTTTGCCAGCTTCATTAGTTTTCACAATAATAAAGTTTTACTCTTTTCAGACCTTTTCAGTGACATGTTTTATTGCAGTGAAACAGTTGTCCTATAAAGAAGCTTTTTTAATTTTTTTACCTTTGGACCAACAGAACCAGGAAGACCTTTATCACCCTGTAAAAGAAAACCAATCCTAATTACTTACAGTAAGAACATTAAACACACAACAAAAACACACTCATGATATTTTTACTTAATTCAAATGCCCACAGATTTGTTGTTTAATTTTATATCATAATGTTCTTTATATGAAACACTAGACCTCTTAGTTAAAAAGAAAACAATCTGTGATTCAGGAGTTATAGCAACAAATGAATAGCTCTGGTCTGGTTGTCTAGGGCACCATTCCGAACAAGGGATATGACGACTGATATGATTTTAAGGCTTCTCTGCAGCAATCAAGTTGATTTGCTTTTTTAATTTTCTTAGATACTTTTTTTTCCACTTCTAGTTCTTGCAGTGGACAGAAATTCATGGCACGCAAATACTTCTTTTCCAAATTGCACTGAATCTAACAGAATTAATTGTTATACTGGCAAGCTCCTGTCCTTACTCATTCAATAGAAATATTGCTCAAGTGAGGTATGAAAAAAATGAATAAGGACTAGGATTAAAATTATAACAATGTTTTCTTCCCAAAGTAATGGCAAAACTCCCACCAAATTTCACTCCAAGGAATAAAGTGACTTTATTTTCAATGCAACCTGCAGTTTCCCCCCATAATCATCTCTGGATTAATCTGGAATAATGATTAAAAATAGAAATTGCAATATAGGTTAAATCCAGATTTTTAGTAGAAATGGAAAAATACTATTATCCCAAGGTGCTGGGGATTGTATTGATCAGGTGCAAATATGTGGTGCCACAATTCTAACTAAAATTTCATCAAATATACACAATGCAGAAAACAGGCTCAGAAAGGCAAAACATTGGAGGTTTTGTCCTTGTTTTTTGAAGATTATGCCCTTTGTGAACATTTAATCTTTCTTCCAATTACTTCCCTTTCCATGTTAGTCTCTTCCTATAATATGTGATTCAGGATCAGTTAATTTCAGCTAGACTTCTTTCTATTCTCAGACTTCTTTTTATAAAACATGTATCACTGATTACAATGGACACAAGATTTTGATGCCTGCTTTGTAACATATATACTGCATCTTCTTGATAGCTGCTAGTTCCAGCGTGTGCTGCAGTTTTACCAACCTCAGGCTTTTGAAATCACAACTCAGATTTTTCATCCTCCAGAGGAGAATTTTTTAAAAACCTCTTGTGATTTAAAAAAACCCAACAAAACAATATTCTGTCCATTTCATTTCCCTTACAGTGTGTCAGCTTTCAATGTACGCTTGGGAATGTATTTTCAAGATCTTGTGAATGGACAATGGTGCGAAAGCTCAACAGAGGATGACATTTTCCTGGAGTCTTTGTCTCTATCTTCTCCACAGTCTTCTTGAAGTGGAGTGCAGAAAAATGGATGCGGTATTTCAAATAGAGACTCACTAGCCCTCATTAAAGGGTTATAATTATGTCTTTATATCTGCTGAGCATGTTTTTGCCTCCTTTTCCCCAGATTAGATGGTTTGAGCTTCTTCAGCCTCTCCTCATCAGACATGTACTCAAGGCCTCTGGCTATCTCCATAGCTCTTTGCTGCACTGTCTCTGTCTTGTCCACATTCTTCTTAAAATTGGGTGCAAACAAATGGATGCAACAATTTGGGGAAACTTAAAAAAGAGAGGCAATTCTGCAATATGTAGTTTTTGGTTCTATGGCAACACAAGAAAATCTATCTGCTGGATGCTATGATCCCTTGCTTTCATCTATATGTTCCCCACTCCTCCCCTTTTTCTAGATAAAGTACTCATCTGATCAAGCATGAAGCCAGTCAGTGCAGCAAGTAAATAGAAAACTAAGTACCTCCTTGCTGCCAGGTTAGGATGCTGAAATGTCTCATTAAGGGGTGAGGGAAAGCTGGAACTACCACAAATGTGGGAGTGGGATATCCTAGCTGGGGGCAGCAGCAGTGGAGTAGTCAGCAGTTAAGGCAAATATGGGCTGCTGCAGGGAATATGCTGACAGTCTGTGCCAATCTGGACTAGCTGGAGTTCTTTCTTTCTCCCCAAAAGTAGCTCATACTGAATTTTGAATACCGCATGCTGCAGAAAATGAGACTGTACCCAACACAGAATTCTGGATTTCTGAATATGCCTTTTTGGGATACATTCTAATAGGCTATTAGCAGCCATATTCAATTAAAACCAATTGAAGCCAGCCAACACTGCATTGCAGGGACAATTATTTATGATTTTTACAGCCTAGAATTGACAAAGGTTTTCCACTGAAGTGGGAGCAAGACAGGCTTACCTTTTCTCCCTTGCGTCCTGGTGGGCCAGCCACTCCATCAAGACCAGGCGGACCTTGAGGACCCTGTAGATGATAGTAAATCTAAAGCAGGTGCCACTTGACAGTACAAATATTTTGGATCAACTGGTGATACAGCATTATGAAAGACGAATGTGTAGCACCAGGCAGCACATACCACCATTAAGTTCTAACATTTGTGTTTCTTGTCTTGAGGGTTTTGCTTTGTATCAAAACCGTATCTAAATATATTTCAAATGATACATATATAAAAATATAAATCAATCACAAAATAATACAAAATAATATAAACCAGCATAATGTAAATATAAAATTAGTGTGAAAAATAGTCTATCCAAGCAGGTTTTGACAACACTACTACAGATGTGATGGGGGTTGATGGTGGCACATCAGCCACCATCAGCAACCCATCAGCTGGCAGCACACCAGCACTTTTGGAAATCTCAGTGCCAGATGAGTGCTAGCTGAGAAAGTGATGGTATTGACAAAGTCAGAAAGTGGTCCAGGTTTTCTGTGTTCCTCACTTTAATTTTGCCTTGAGAAATGTATTTTTAGGTCTTCACCCAATTGTGTTGTATCCATGACATAGCATGCATTTGAGTGAGCAGCCTGGCTGGGAAAAAATGGCTTTGTAGGGTCAACCAATCAATCAGTACAGTATTGAAGTCCAATCCTCAGTAACTATACATGCAAGAAAGGGAACAGTTACACACATATTTATATGCCCTATGTTTTTTTACTGATAGCCTTTCATTAAATTTACAAGTGTACATTCTGGCCTCTGAGAGTCTTTTATCCATTTGTTTATTCATCTATTTTAGGGAAGGGTATATATGGCTGCAGAAGGAGATGGAAAACATTATTTTTCTCTGGTGTTTTCAGAATAGTCACGAAGGCCTCATTTTCCCTGTACTCCTTACCTCCTCCTCCCTCCATTTTTTCCCTTTAGATGCACTGTATGTGATAAAATAACTAATCAATTCTTTTTAATATTAAAAGGAAATATTTTCAGTATGCTTCAAATATAATCATGTTGTATTTTGCAATGATTACATAGACAGAGGAGGATTAGAAGAGAGGTTGGGCTAACAACAATAATTGTTCTAAATTTTAGTGACTATTTTCTCTTAAGTGCTTAGCAAGTTTAAGTTTCATTGCTCCAAAATTGCTTGTTTCCTTTACAGCTTTTGAGTAGTCTCTCTCATGTAGCTAGCAAGCAACACTTGCAGATTTGTTATTCACTTCAGGGTGTATTCATTCATTTGTGAACTATTTTTAAAAAATTACCATAGAAAATATCCATATACAATGCCATGAAGCACTTCAATTTCATATAGCATTTAGAAAATACGTATTTAATCAGATCAATATTGCATCAGTACCAGACGCAATGTAGAGCAGTTAGTGAAGAGGTATTTCCCTTTACAAAAGGCAGCCTTTACCCAAACATTTCCAAGACATGCTTCTCATCAGAAGAGATATTACATCACAAAGTTCTTGATTTAGGAGGGACTTCAGCCTGCACACAACTTCAAGTAATTGGCTACTCTTCTGAAATTAGGATTTGCAACTGAAAACCTTTAGTTATGTGTTACTGAATGAGGATTCCCATCCAAAAAGTTTTGTTGTGAATGGACCTCATCTTTTCTTTTTTTTTACATTTTTAAATTTTGCTTTTTTTTTTTTTTTTTTTAGAATTTTTATCTAAACATAAAAAAAAATCTTCTTTTATGGGAAGACATGCCTAGTCATAGAGCAAACTGCTTCTGATGCTAAAAGTCTTCATTTCACTAAAAAATGATTTTCAATTTTAAGTATATGAGCACTTGGGAGCAACACTGGCCTTATGTTAGAAGGCAGAAGACCTATAATTATTCTCTGAGGATACTGTGGTTCTGAAGATACTGTAGTTCTGAGAAATGTTGCCAAAATAGGTATTTTCATGACAGGTCTCTGCAGGACTTTTGAGAACACTTGATACTCTTCCTAAATCCCAGAGGATTTTTTGTGGTTTTTTGCTAGGTTTAAGCCATTCATTCAGTGACGAAATAGCTTACTTTCAGACAATTAAAATACAAAGTAAGGTAATCAATTGAAAGCAAGGAAAGACTAGCCAGGTGTTGCATTTATGTAGAAAAGCTATGCCTTTTTCCTAGTTATATTATAGAAGGACTTATGTTCATGCTTAAAGTGAGACAAAAGGTACAATGAAGCATATGTCTAAACTGCTGCAGTGCCATGGTCTTTAGCACATGCCATTCTCTTAGTCTGAAGTATTCATAGCACTTAGTGGGAATAAGTGTCTCTATGTAGCTGAAGAAAAAGAAGGAGGAGATTTCCTGAAGGAGGAAAATTCAATTTATGCTAAAAATTCCCTGCAGATTAGGTAAGTGATTTAGCAAACTTCATTTTCTGGAAAGCACCACAGGAAAAATAATCCTTAACCTTATTCAGTGCTGGTAAAAACATCCTTACTTTTTATTTATTCTGGTCCAGATTCACTAGTATGTCTGCCAAATATACATCCTGCTGTGGAGTAATATGCTTTGGTTAACTAGACATTTATTTTATTATTTTTTTTATAAAAAGCTCTTAATTTGAAAGCTCCAAGCTCTTAAATTGAAAATATTCTGCAATATTAGTAAGAATTATATGGGCTGTGAGCCTTGGCACTTAGTGGCGTAGGGCAGAAACAACATTAATGTTTGTGCACAAATGGGTACTCACCTCAGGGCCTGATTCACCAGAAGCTCCATCTTCCCCTAGTGACCCTGGAGGTCCTACACTTGAATCGGGTGCAGGCTTTCCTGGAAGACCAGGCAGGCCAGGAGGACCTGGTGGCCCAGGAGGACCCTGGATAAATCAGTAGCATTGTTAGAAATGACCCTAGCCAGGTTCATTTGCATATATATGGACTAGGAAAAATTCAAACAGACTGTTCAGATTCATAAAACTATTTTATATTCACAGATACACGTTCCACCTAGGGTCACACTGGCCTCTTCCATCCTTGCTCTTTGAATTGTGCCACCTCATGGCATGCACAGCAAGCAGGAAGTTAGAACCCAAAAAATTCTGTCTCAGCTCTCTGTAATGCAGGAAAGATCTTAGAGATATACCAATGACCAATCTAATGCTAAGCTTAACCAAAATGAAATGAAGGGATCACTGAATATGGGGAACTGGTTAGTTTTGTCGCTATTTATTTCAAGGGGTTTCTTGATGCTTTTGCTGCAACACTGAGAATCTGTGGTCATGGTCAAGATGTCACTGTGCTTAGTGCTGTAAAAATGGCATCTGCTCCAAAGATCTATTCTGTGTGGACATGAACATTTAAACTGAATAAAGTGAAAGAAATACATTACTTGGGGAGAAATAGTATGTTTGCAAATATTCTTTCTCATGTGCAAATCCATCCTTATTACTGACTGCATTAGCAGGCAGATGTGAACAGTTTGAAATTTTGGGACATGGCACTCCTTCCCAGGGACAGAAGTCTGGTCTCCCATTTTACATAGTCCAGAGAACCTTACTCAGGAACATGTACATGAAAATCTTACTAACTTTCGCTAAGCTGAAACATCTCTCTCTGCTACCCAGCCTTCATGTGACAGTGTTACAATTCATGACAAGGGCAAGGATACAGGAAAGTTCAAATTGCCATCAAAGTAGATCAGCAGTGGAAGTTGTAGCGTAAAATATTTCATACAGACATATTTAATTTTTTAGAACAGGTATTACAAATTAAAGGAAGCAAAGAATAATATAATTCCCATCTCTCTCCTCTTTACTGTCTTCTCAGAATCAGATTAAAAGCATGTTCTCATTTTAAAAAGTCCTCTTGCTATTACTTCTTTGTTGTCCTCTTTCTTTCTCATACTTCTTCCTCACTCACATACACTTAGGCCTTTTCAGATCTTGAAATGAAACCCTACAAAGCATTTCTGGATGCTGTGAATTAAGCGTGTACAAAATCTGCATTGTGAAATGGACCTTCTACAGTCTGGATGAGTAAAGCAAACCTCTTTATTATGCTAGTGAGAAATAAACATCAATATATACTTACTCTTAAAATCTCAATTTCTCTATCAATGTCTCCAGAACCTGATTCTTCAGGGTCCAGTCTATTCTGAAATTAGGAGAATTTGATTTTAAAATACTGCTTCTAAAGTTGCAAATTAAAATATCACTTGACAATTACTGCAAATACAATTATAGTCAGTATCTCTGCAGCCCACTGTTATAAATTGTGAAAACTGTAATGCAATTTGTAAAACATTTCAGTCATGTTTCTGGTGTTTCATACCAACTCAATGTCCACATGGAGATCAGTAGTAAGTGGTGTCCCTCAGAGGTCAGTATTGAGACTGATAGTGTTTAACATCTTTGTTGGCAACATGGACAGTGGGATTGAATGCACCCAATGACCATTTGCCAATGACACCAATCTGTGAGGTGCTACCTGCCTAAACAAATAGCCACTGTTTCTTAGATTGTGTCTTTTAGGTCAAAAGCCAGATTCTAAGATTCCTACACCTTGAACCTAAAGAGGCAGTTTATAAAGGGAAATTAACAAAGCATTTTCTAAAATATTTTGTTAGAAAAAGGTTTGGGTTTAGTATTGCAATCTAGTTGTAGTCATCTATAAGACAATTTCATAGATTCGAGCTTTTTCAGCTTTCAACAGTCTTCCTATGTTGTGGAACCTATAGTAAAAACTACACTCAGCATACATACCGTCAAAATTTTTTTTAAAACTGCTAGAGAAAAAAAAAGTATTATTCATGGAAAATTTGCCATGATTTCTCTGCATAGTATATACAGCAAAGTGAAATGAAGTCCAGTTATCCATTTTTATAGAACTTGCTATGAAAGTTTTATAGAACTCATAATTTTACAAATTAAAAGAATAAACCAAGATGTGCAACAAGCTTGGCCGTTGAAGTATGACTTTTTTACATGTGAGTTCCACCACATTTAAAATGAAATAATGTCATCTTGTATAAAAGTAAATTAACTACAGATTCCCATTGCAAGTCCTTGATGAATTTCATAGCTTGTGTATGCTTTGTAAACCACAGCCCAGAGTGCATAGAGAACCAGTACCCATATCAGTTATAGTTAAGTAGTATCAAAGCTAACGTTTCAAAAGCCCTGTGATCCCTGGCTGCACTGAGACTTCCTTCACGTGAGAGCAAGAGGTCTTGAATCTTGCTGTCACAGACAACAGGAAAGTAAAGGGGATGCAGGACCTGGTCTTCACTGCTACATTTAAAGAAGTGGTCTTTGGATGAGAAAAGTTGTTGGACTGGACGACCTTCTCCTAGTGATATGAAGCTATCTTCAAGTCTGGATCAGTGGAGGCTAAATGGTGCAGCCCTTCATAACACTGTTACTGTTTGATGCTACAAAACCAGATTGATACAATTTAGCAGGCCCTAGATTAGGGAAGCATATAATCCACTTTGGTCACTGAAATACGTTGTAAGCCATCTACCTTGTTAAATACAATACCCAGTGTGACAGATAGTTTTGTTTAAATGTCCACTACAGAACTTCCACTGCTGTTAGTGGTGGGCTGTGTCTACATGTAAAATCAGGTCCCACATCATGAATTGAAAATTCTTTTTAAGCTGCATACACATGTATCCTCATGGAAACAGTGGTAAAGTTCCAAGTACAAAAAAGAGATGAAGCTGAAACGTATTCTTTAACATTGCCTAAGTACTGAGCATTCACCATATAAACACTGTCACCATGCTGGTATGTGCTGTAGTATTTAATGATAGCAAACGTAAGTGACTGTCAAACTATTTCTGTGTTCAGTAAAGGGAAGAAATGAATAATTCAGATTTATAATGCCTTTTAAAGGAAATTTTGGTCTGTTGTTCTCACATATATAATTGATTTTGCCTAGGAGAGCACACACATCGACTGGATTTTTAAAATGTGAATACTCTGTGTTTACGTACATTACATTACACTTTAGCCAGCCATTTATTTGCATTTCTTCATGAGTGTTTTAGAAAACATGATTATCTCTGTAGCAGTCAGGCTACTTTCCAAGAGGAAATCTTCTGTTTAGTTCTGTATTCCTCTGTGGTAAGCTGAGCTCAATGACAGAGAAGCCCAAATACTCACTAATCCTCTGGAAGGAGCAGATGGTCCTGCGGGTCCTGGTGGTCCAGGGGGTCCTGGCAATCCCTCACCAGGATCGCCCTAAAACAGGAATGAAAATAAATCAACAAGGATTTAATCATATAAATGCAGAGCAGGATTTTTCAGCACTGGCTGCAATCTGTGTGAATTTCTAGTCACAAGGAATAACAAATGTGTCTGCTTTGATGCTATGAGCAGAGTTGAACTTTATTCATTTCTAAGACAAGCTCCCAAGAAACATGATCTTTGCATTGGGAAAGAAAGGACTTTGCCCTTTCCAAATTCTGCAATGATTTTGCTAATGTACAAGCAGCATTAACAGTGTTAGACAGTGTAAATTTCCTGTCAGAATGTTTTACTGTTGGTCTTACATTTTTAGAGTACATCATACGCCTGTTCCCCCATAAATAAAAAAGTACAGCATGGTACTCAATGAGTAATTTTTTCATGTCACTGGTACCGTCTGTAATACTTTTTCCAATACCAAATGGCATGATTATTCCATGTGTTGACCTTTATCTGCTGCCAAGACATTGAAAAATCCTGTTCAGAACTGTGTCATTTTCTCTCGTAATTACTACCATCTCTTCTACTTTGGCTTTCTTGCAACACTCCTATCCTTTTGCTGAGGTTGGTTTGAAGGGTTTCTGATTAAGATATTTACAACTTCTATTAAATTTTCTGCTCAACTCCATCATTTTTCACTCAACTCAGGAGTTGAGTTTCTGTCTCAACTGTTTTAATGTAAATTGGAAATATTTTTATTATTTATCTTTTCATTCTCAACTTTCTATTTGCCTTGTTCGGGAGAATTCACTATATAAAATTTGGCCTCTGTGTTTTAAACTCTTCTGGGAGAAGGATGCATCTGCATCCCCTAAAATGGGGGCAATAAGATCTTAAGTAACTGGCGGAGCAAAACATTATGACTGCTTATCATTCATGTTGTTTTCATCATAGGATTTGCACTAACTTAATTTCATTTTTTGAAGTCTTGTATACCTCTAAAAGTGATTGAGCCCACTTGCTTTTTACCTACATCTGATGGAGGGAATGCCGGTAGAAAATACAGTGCTGCCTTCTCCCTCCCTGGCTGTCTCGCATTTCTTGCCTTTGGCACTCAATAACCACAGTTCACCATTCTGATGAGTTCCTTAGGGTGCATTTTGGACATTCTCCCTGCATGGTCATCCTGGTTTCAGGACAGACATACATTTAGAGGTGAAGAAAGAGCGATGTAACTGCTCAATTCACAGAGCTTCTCTCAACACTGGGAGTGAAAAGCTCAGCTTTCCCTCTAACAATGCTTTCACATAGCACAGATTCCTGCCCTCCTTAGCGCTGCTGCAGAGCTGTAAGGTGTGACCTTCACACCTTGCACCAGGAGGAGAGAAACCAGACTGGTTGCACTGAGCTTTCTTAAAGGGCTGGAAGTCATAGAGACATAACTAACCAGTCTCTACTCATCTATGGCTTACCCTCTAACCTGCAAATTTCTCATCTGGGCTTATTAGCACTTTATGTTCTCTAAATGCATATACTCATTTAATAGCAGGAAATACTGAATTTTACCTGCCTCTTGGTCACTTGCTCTTAACGCTTGAGAATTCATTAGATAAATGTATTCATTAATTTCTTTGTTCCCTGTGGTTTTGTCAAATGGTTCCTATAGTGATGCTTCAGTCATATTCACAGGAAATGTGTTTAATTAATTTGAGGCTATTTTCACTGTCTGCCAGCATGTTCATTTACAGATACTTTCATTTCAACATATCCTTTGCTTTTTTTCAGTGAATATTACATTAGCTTCTGTGAGCATTTTGTGCTTGTTTTAATGCAATTTCTTCCACTTTGTGTGTACTACAAGAAAGAAAAATCCCTCTCACTTAGATCACAGTCATGTCTTAGGTGCCTAATTGTATCCATTCCCGAAGAGCATCTCATCTCACTGTATCTCTGCACCGCACAAGTGTGGCAGGTACATCCTTCCTGACAAAGCCCTGACAAAAGCCTGCAAAAACTTAAGTTATAGATGGAGTCCCACTGGAGAGCCATTTGGAGTTGGTTGTCCTTGAAGCAGCAGGCCTGCATTCTCCCCTTCAATCAGGACACCATCCAAGATAACTCCTTGAGACTGACACCTCTCACTTTTTAAGTGAGTGATTGCACATTTTGGATCATCATTTCAATTTTAAGAATCAGAAGTGTAGTGACAAATCTACAGAATCATAGAATAATTTAAGTTGGAAGGGACCTTCAAAGGTCATCTAGTCCAATCCCCCTGCAATGAGCAGGGACACCTTCAACTAGATCAAGTTGCCCTGACATGTGACATCCCAAATGAGTAGCTGATGTTGGTGGAGCTTTAATTGAGTTTGAACAATGATTTTCATTCAGCCTCAAATTACTGCTTCCATGACAACAAGGACCACAGTGAAAAAGTGATAAGCCAGGTCCCTACTCTACACTAATCTGTAGCATTCCATTCATTCTCACCTTTCCATTTTCAACTAAAGAACCAGAAACAGGCAGGTGGATCTTGCTATTGTTGCTCAAATTTCAATATTATTATGCTGGAAAATAACTGACTGTCTTTAGAGAGCGTAACTGGTTTTATTTTTTTTGTGTGCACACAGTTCTTTAAGCTTTGCTCATCCTACTAACATACCAAGTCCTAGGAAATCACACTGACCAGGATGTGCGTCTTCTTGTTTGTCCTGCTTTCTGCTGCAGGAATTAGGTTTGTTAAAATATAACCAAGAAAAAGCTCTGCATATGAAGCTGTCAGTGTTCCTTAGTGCTTTTCAATATGTTAAGATTTTTTAGTACATTTGCTACAACGCCTCTTTGAAGTAGCCCTTGAAAATAATAGTCCTGTTTTAAAAATGGAAAGCAAAGCATAAGATGTCTTTATTAAAACTGCCATGTAAGTTATCAAGAATAAATTACAGGAGTCTTTTTCTTCCAGAGATAACCTTAGCTCACTATGGCTAAGCTGCCTCTCCTGCTATCAAAACATTCTCCTTCTGATGCCTATTCTAATCAATAAAGTAAGGCTGGGGACTATTCTTTGGCCCTCATGACGGGTAGAACAAACTGGCTGTGTTCAGAGTACTTAGGCACCTGACCGTGGGCCTCCTTTTAGCTATGTTAAAAGCTAATATTTTGAGTATGCGGTTTGGTGCAGTTTTCATGAAATAACATGAGAACTATACTGCAGCCCATCAGCATGATGAGTATTTCAAAGTAAAAAGCCTGCTGGAATAGCACTGAGGGAGAATGTACAATGAACAGAGCCAACATATGCACAGTGTCTTCTTGTAGCATACTGGGAACAGTTAACAAACAATGCTACCCCTGGGCAACGCTGAGATATTATGAAGCCTGAATTGTTTTGGTAAACAGACGAAATGAATTACTAATCTAGCACTTGGAGTTACTGGGTGAATGCCAATTTTGTGTACAACATATGCTGTAATGATAGATTAATCCATTATCACTCACTTTATCCCAGAAGTAATACAAGTTGTTACTTCAGATGGTTTAACTCTTATTTCCATTATGTTCATATCATAGGAGTAATATGACTATATTGCCCCTGTTAAATCACTTAGCCAGTGGAGTAAGTTGCACAGAGCAGTTATATATAACAATCGAGTTTACTTTTTTAAGTGTTACATGTATCATCCTTAGTTTTCCTGTGAAAGCTCAACTTTTTCTACAGCTGAAGTTTATTCATGTTCTTGAAATTCTATTCATGATTCTATTATGGCTACCCTTCATTCACATTCATGGCTGAACAGCACTTTTTAAAAATTCTTCCTGTGATTCCCTATTAATATTATTTTTTCTCTCAGACTGTACCAAATTAGCACTTGTCCAAGCATAAATGGGATCTGGTTGATTGTCTGTTATTAACAGGACACATACCTTTTCACCTTTTAGGCCTGCTTTTCCTTTCAGTCCTGGCGAGCCTTGAAGTCCATTTTTGCCCTAAAATGAAGTAAATTTTTAAATTAGACATTATCTTTTATGCAGGTTGAACAGACTGTACACTTAGCAGCAGAGGCTGGACATAAGGGTGCTAGATTCTAACTCTTGGTTTGTGCAGTGGGAGGAGATGTGGGACTTATGCCTCTGCAGCTGGCAGTGCACCAAATGTGACTCTCACCAAATCTGCTTTGCCCACAACAAAGTGGCAGTGAAGCCTGTTTGGGTGATACAGATGGAAAGACTTGGCAAGCTTCATTTGGATTTGACAGGATGACAAGTGGACCAGATAGATCTGATGACAAATATTTTGAAAACTTTAATACTCCACTAGAACAAATAGGGACAGGTGTCTGAAAAGTCCTCTTCAAATTTTCTGTCTCTTAGCCATTTACTTGTCTAAGAGATAAGAAACTTCATTTATTCCAAAGTTGCTGAGTATGCTTTCAGCAGGTGAATTCTGAGGTAGAATTCTGCCTCTTCCCTAACAAATTCCAAATTATGGGAAAATGGACACTTAGAAGAAACCTACTTTTAATTTCATGAAGAAGTGATAGTCAAAAGAGAGTATTTGCCACTACTGCAAACTGCCGCCCTGAGTGCACCAAATCATATTGCTAGCATTAGCCTGTTCCCACCTTCTACTGAAATCCTTTTTGCCTTGACCCACCTGAATATATTCAGTTCCTACCAAATAGAATGCTTCCTGACAGGGAATGCATGGTACTACACAGCAATTTTACCACTATTTCCATTCTAAACTTCTCTAGTCAAATTCATCCCAAATAACCTTTCTATATACATTCATCTTTTCTACATTTAACACACATATGCTCTTCCTATAGAGGCTGATCATTGGCCAGAAAAAACTCCCACTAGCTTTACAGCCAGTGTTATTATAAAATGGTGCTATTTGTGAATTCAGTTAGGACATAGATGGACGAAGTGGCAGCAACAGGTAAGAGTAAAGAAACAAAGAAGCCAGGTAGTAAAGCATCTGCAGAGGACAGATGTGCAAAAAGCAGCTGAGACACTTATAGAATATGAATTTGTTATTGTGTGGGTTGCTGGGCCATACTTCACTGTGGAGGATGCATACACAATCTGTCAGCAGCTTGTGGTAAACTGAATGGGAGTCACCTGGAGAAGGGAGGAAGGAACAGTACAGGAAGATGATAGCAAATGTGAAAGAAGAGAGGGTAAAATAGAGGACTGCAGAGAAGGAAAGCGCAGTTGAATTACTGCTCAAGACTTGAGGTGTGAGGGGTACATCTGGAAAGTTAATAGTAGCTGAGGTTAGGAGAATGCAATATGGCAGCATGTGTGTCTGAAGAGTCAATGAAGAACAGTGTTTTGCCCTGTGAGACATATGGGTCTGAGTATGCCCATTTTTTGAAGTTCCTGTCTGAAAAAAAAAGCCAGACTCACCAGATTTGGACTCTTGCAGAGCTGCTTAGGGTATGCCATATCTCTTTCTTTATAACTGGGAAATCATAAATTTCTCTTAGAAACCTGGGTCCCCCTCTCTTGGCAACCTAAGGAAGTCAACTACAGCACCAGAGCTGCCTTCTAAAGAGAGGACGTGGAGAAAGCACTTTGCTGCTTAAGCTTCACTGTAGCTGAGTTTCTGATAAAAAATGTTTTGGTTTGGTTTTTTCCTTCAGTTAACCAAGATAAGTACCATGAAAGAGTACTTACGGGTAACCCATTTTTACCAGGAGTGCCCTAAAATAAAACATCTTTGTTAGAAAAGTAAATAAATCCTTGGAACAAAGAAGCAACAAAAGAGAAAAGCAATGAACTATAGCTTGATGTGTCATGCAGTAACGAAATAACAAACCAGAACTGTAAGAAATACTATGTCACAGTGTGATCTGCTTTGCACCTTTGTTTAGAATTATAGAGATTTATAATGCTATGTAATTTAGAATTACAGAATTATCATAGAATCATAGAATAGTTAGGGTTAGAAAGCACCTTAAGATCATCTAGTTCCACCCCCCCCGCCATGAAATCATAGAATGGTTTGGGTTGGAAGGGACCTTCAAAGGTCATCTAGTCCAATCTCTGTGCATATTTGTGTTTTACTGTATACATCTTGTGCTGATGGTTCAGAAAGGTATGATATGTGAAATATCCTGGATATACAGAAACTAATGAAGGAGGTTTGTGAGTTCTGAAGTCCAGCAGCTTTGAACATGTTCAAACATGACAGCTGCGAGGGTAGTGTGGTACTGCAAAGGCTGCCCAAACAGTACTGCTCTATGAATGTTAGCACATCAGCACATCAGCTGTTTGCCTTGTGCTTTCTGATGACTGTCTCTCATCAGATACTTTTATAGCTGCTGACACATGTGCAAAGCAGATAAGATACTTCTTAAGCTGATTTGGTGGTGCTAAAACCCCATCTTGTAGGAGTATGGCACTGTGTGTGAGGTTGTGAATTTTCATCCCTTTATGCACGTGTGATGAGTGACCCTTTCTAAAATACATTAATTCTTTCAATAGACAGAAAATACTCACGGGCTGACCATGTTGTCCAAGTTTCCCTGGAGGTCCAGGAGGTCCTTGATCTTTTTTCTCCACATCTTCTTCTCCTGGCCTTCCTAGAGATCCTGTGGACCCACCCTCTCCTTCCTGACCTCTCTGGCCCTAAGTAATACAATGTGAAATATGAAAAATGTGTTGCATTACTTTTCCCATTTTTCTCTTCTCTTCCCTCTCTCTTAGAGCCCCTGTTTTGTTGAATGAAGCCAGAAACTTGTTAGGCACCATACAAACAACATACTCCATTTCAGCAAAGGCAGTCCACATTAGAGATCATTCATGCAAGTGTATATAAATTGCTCACTGAGATGGAAAAAATGAGAGCTGGTTACCTACATGCAAATGACCATGGTCTAACTTCGTATCTGCACAGATCTGCACAGTCTAAATCAATAATGTAGATTAGAAAAAGACCAGTTTCACAAACTCAGTCTGTCTGGGAAAAAATTGTGGAAGTTAAAAAGGGATGTTTAGGAACACTTTAAACAACTCCCCTGAGGTCTACAGCTCTAACAAAAGACTGTTATATATCCATTTTGGTTAAAAAGGAAAGTGATAGAAGAGGAAATGAGGAAACTGACAGTGAAGAATAAAAATGGACAACCTGCAAGAGCAGAGAATTTCTAAGGAACAAAATAAACATTTTCAGTGTTGAAGCTCGGACACTAATACATACTTAAATTAAAATCCAGTATAGATGATGGAACATTTAAGTCACCTTTGTATCATATCTTGAAACAAACACTAGGATTTGCTCACATTTTATAGCAGCAATGAAATATTTTGAGTTCCGTTAGTAACTAATGAAACTAGGAGGCATTTAATACAGTAACTATCCAAGCTTCAAGTAGGATGACAGCTTTCAGCAAAGGAGCTGTTAACTGATCTTTTAAAGATCTTTTTGGGTTTTGTCTCTAGGAAAATTCCCAAAGACTAGAGGTTATTTCATCTGGTATCATTAGAGATTTTGTTTCCCACATGGAAAAATGTTAGAAGAGAACATAGATAACTAAGCTATGTGTAAGATCATAACGTGAGTGAGATAACAGGATTGTTGATACAGGTTGATCCTGAAAGGAATTCCTGCTTGGACACTTACAACAAGACAGCCTGACCAGGATTTCTGGAAGTCATCTCTGACAGGTGAAAGATGTCCAGATACAGCCTCTTCTAGAGTACTTCTAAAAAAAGTGTGCTGGCAGCCTAGAGAAGCTAGGCATAGCTGTAAACAGCATTTATTCATATAACTGCTCTGACACAGACATGAGTAATACAAGAATGCCGAACAATTTTGCTGACTTGCTTCAACTTTGGTCCTTTATAAGGCCATCTAGAGGTAAAAAAGTTGTTCAGCCTTAATATTTTATTAGTCAAAGCATCTTTTTACTGTGAATGCCAGGAAAAGCTGCTGGTTGTGGTTTTTTTTTTTCTTTTTAGTGGATTTTTTTTCCTCTCTGGGTGTTAACGTGTGCAGCTGTCAGGAGACAGCATACTCTGCTTCTTAAAGAAATAACTAGGCGTTGCAGACACTTTTCCAGTGCAATCTGTGCAGTCTTTCCCTTGTCAAGACATAGGATCAACCTCTTGGATGGTAACTCGAGTAAGTTTGGTTTATAAAGAGATAATTTGCATAAACTATACATTTTCAGATTAGTTTGTGGGCAACTAAGGAAAGCCAGTGATACATATTTTAGGCATGGATTCCTCCAGAGTTTAGTGTGGTTTAGAGTTCGACTTCTGTTTGCATCACCTGATAATGAAGCACTGTGATAATGAAGTGCTTCTTTACACTTGGTACTTAAAACAGAAGTACTTAGCGAGCACTCAAAAGGTCTAATTTTAAATCTGCTTATACACCACTTTCACCTGCAAGTCATTTACTGAGTAAGACCAAGCCTGCTTTTAAGCAACTGTGGGCTTTTATGGTGAGGATTTACACTGGTTATTTTCTTTGTTTCTCAAATGCAAAAAGAAATGCAAAACTGAAAGAACAATTTTGGTTTGTTAGTCAAAAATCTCAAGCACATCTCAATGGTTATAAATCCCAACATATGCATAGTGTCAGCGCTATTTTCTGCTGTCATGAAAGAACATTCAAGAATTTAAAAAGTTGCTTCTGTTCGGCATGCTTCTAAGATGGACTACCTAAAGGTACCAACTCAGAAAAGCACTTAAAATTCATATATTTTCCTGCTCTTGGAACAAAAAGATAAGGCATATGATGAACCCATTGTACAGACCTCCTCTCTGCTTACTCCTGGCAAAGCACTATCACCAGAGCCATCTTCTTCTCTTAAGATTTTCTGTGTTACAGTGGTGGACTCGTTACCTTGTCCGGTTTCCATGACAGCTGAATCTAAATAGAATAATCACTTATTAATGAGAGACAGAGCAAAATAAGCTTGCTCAGAGCTATCTATCAGAGCACAGAAACAGCAAGTTGTTTGAATAAAAGAAATTGTTTTGATTATGATCAAAATACATTCCAGATATTAATATTAGTCATCTAATAAGTCTGAAAATTTTAGAAGGAAAGGAAAAAAAGAGAGATAAGTGAGAATAAAATTATAAAACAAATTTTTATTTTAAAAACAAAGACTGTATTGTATCATCCTATTTGACTCAAACTCTAGTCTAATGGTTGCCTATTTTTCATCTTTGTAACAGAAAAAATAAGAGTACAACAGGTACTATCTCAAGTATATATAAAATTCAAATAGGAAAATTGTCTTTGGCCTTATTACAATAACTAGTTCTAGTTTCTGTTTTCTAGGAGTGTGCTGAAATTGCCTTACTCAGAGCATTAGTCCCTGCTCTTACTGCATTGCTGCCTACATTTGCATCTAAAACAACTCATTGGTGCACTAGGCAGATTCATATCCTTTACAGGGAATACAAGTAGGATATAGTTGTTTATTCAGTGATGGTATTCAGTTTTACATGAAAGGCTCTTCTTCACTATAACAAAAGGTAACCAAACTAAATAATCATCTTAAATTCCTCTTAAAGGCGTCACATGGCTTTAGAACTGGTAGCACTATTTAAAGAGGCATGTCTCAAGAAATGCTACGCTTCTCACTGACACAAGCAGAATTAAGAGGATTTTTCTCCTTTCATTCCCTTCATCTAACACTTGCATTTTGTTGGAATGTGGTGGAGTATCACAGCAGCAGCTCCTCAGGTCAGCTTCTTTCTTTTTTTTTTTTTTTAAATATAAACCATAGTTCTGTGACTGAAACTTCCACACTGCAGAAGGGTAAATCCATTCTCTGCATGTTTAATTACAATGACTGAGATAAACACCTAAATGGGGCAAAAAATGGGAGATGTGTTGAATGGTGGCTGTCGTTGCTACCGCTTAGCTGTTGCTGTTATTAACAAATTGCAGCCTATCAGACTGCAGTTTCAAGGACCAAACGTTTAATGTGCCAGTTCTTTTCTAACAAAGGATGTCCAAAACCATATGATTTTTCATTCCTGGCATCACCCAAAGTATAACACTGGCTTTTCATACACAGGGAAATGTTACACTCAGACCTAGAATGTAAATGACCACCCTCCACCCCCCAAAAAAAAGAGGTAGTGCCTTGTTCTTTAACTGCTGCTTCAGAGGTTTCTTCTGAACTGTGATTTCCAGAGAAATCATTTTCTTCCAAATAAGACAATATAGTTGGGGGGGCTTCCACTGGCTCAGCCGATGTATCTTCAGGCTAAAGAAAAACATGAAATTCCAAAGAACTGTTTAGACAAAAGATTTATCACATATTTTAAAGCAAGAATCAGTAGATTACCTTGCTCAAAGCATAGTAACCATAACTACCACATTTATGAAGCAAAACAGAAATCCAGATCTGTCCCACTTATTATCTTGCCATTATCTGTCCTTACTTTTATACTGCACTTAGAAATATTAACTGTCATTGCTATCATAAAACCCGAAGTTTATTAATGGCCAATATATACACCCGTTTTAATTATCAAGTTTCTAATTTATTTCATCTTCTATTTAATTTTTGCTCGTCATAGCACACATCTAGTTTCTGCTTATCAGCAGATGTCAAGCTCTTGAGGAAATCTAGTACAATACTTTTGAACTCCTTTCTTCCAAACCGAGTGATGTACATGTGTCAAACACATAGAGATGGAATAAAACACAGGGAATGTAAAGCTATCACTTCAAGTCTAAGACACTAGAGCTGGCTGGTACCAACCCTTCTCCATACTGGCTGTGGGTAGGCAAGAGGCAGACATTTAAATAACCTGGTATCAGCTGCATGCAGGAGGGTAAAAAGCTTACTCCCTACCAAGATTAGAGGCCTGGAGAAGTGCTGTCCCAATGTAATGAGGAGATTACTTCATGCAAACCTGCATTTGCAATCTAAATAAGATTTAAATTGATTATGTTGTTGTGGTAACCTGCAACAGACTTAATGGACCAAGCATCCTGGTCTTGAATCAGGTTAAGAACTAAAAAATGGCATAATAGGGCTTTCTGAAACATTTCATGTTTATTAACATGTTGGTGTGGCCTTTTGAATTCCCCAGGCATTTTAGAAAAAATGTGTGTAGTCCAAGGAAATGCTTTCACAGGAAGTTCTTGTATTTTGAAGAGAACAGTCGTCTACTGGCCATTTAGGCATTTGAATAGTCAGCTCAGAAACCTACGTATCATCATCCATTATGTGATTGGCTCATACAAAGAGCTGCAGTAGTAGTTGGAACTGCACACAAACACAACAAAGATTGTTTCTAAATGGTCCAAGAAATTGACAATCCACCACCAAAAAAAGTCTGAAGAACAAAAACGAATGATATGCTGAGAATCAACATTCTTGTGTGCTGGTTTTGGCTGGGACAGAGTTAGTTTTCTTTATAATAGTTAGTATAATATTTTCTTTATAATAGTATGAGGCTATGTTTTGGGAATTTCAGCCCAGCACAGAAAGTGAGGGAGAACACGATGTGATGTGAATCTCTAAGATCACAAGTATTATGGTGAAAAAGAGCAACTATTTACTCTGTCTTCCAGTAGAGTAAAAGCCAAATGATAGCTGCAGTTAACATGTTAGAAGGGCAAGAAAAAGATGAAAGTCCTTCAGAAACAGGTCATTAAATAAGCTAAGGAACCCTGTAGCAGGAAGATGAGGATGGTAAAACTCCCATGGGTTAAGAAATCAAAGCATGAAATTCAAGGGCAAAAAACTCAGCAGAGATCCACCAAACACAAATAGATACACTCCTGGCTCAAGCATTTCTTGAGATGTAAATTGTTGCAGGGTAAAAGAGTATTCCCAGTAAGTGCCATGTTTGTGTTCCTAATCTGTTGTTATACTTTTCCTAAAGACCTGGCTGCTGAGTTGTCAAAAATAACAGATTTTTGATCTGGCACAGTGCAGTCATTCTTACGGGTGGGTGTCTGTTTTTCTCATAGGTGCCTTTGGAACTAGTCACATACAAAAAACTAGTAACAAAATCCAGACCTCATGATCTAAAAAAGTAATATTAAACTGAAATCATAAAGCAAATAAATAAATTTACCCTTACGGGAAGATGAGAAGGTTCAAGGATTTCTTGTGTCTCAGAAATACCTCCAACTTCTTGAATGCTGCCATTGCCACTGTTGTCACCTGAAGCCTGTGCAAAACCCGGTCATGATAGCAAGTTCATAAAAGTCAGGAAAAAAAATAATCTCTCCAAGGAATCAACTACTTCAATGCAGATTATTCTTTTTTTCAGTTGCTGAACTCTTAGTGTCATTATGATGTTAACTTATTTCAGTACTTACAACATTTCATGAATCACCCTTCTGAAACATAAAAGTCATAGTTCATTTTCTGAAAGGTGTTATAAACAAAAGAAGTCAACTCTTTTTCAGTGTTTTCAAAAAAAGAGATTCACACACATGGTTTTACGTACATGTTCTCAAGAAGAAATACTACATTTAGCCTTATGAAAACTGTTTAACAGCAAATTACTTTGAAATCTCTGAGGCATTGAGGATAACTAATATAAGAATACTCACATAAGGATCATCATCTTCACAATGATCTTCAGTAGACTTTGGGTCAGATTTGATTGTCAGATGTTGAATTGAGCCCTACATGAAACAACAAACACAATTCAAGGAAGTAGTATTTTAAGGAGGATGTGTGAAGCAGGAGGCTTGTGTGTGTGGAGGGGTGGGAATTAAACAAGCCAACAAAAAACCCCAGACTTTGTTCTGATTTGTTTGGAAAATTATCTGAAGCACAAAATTTTACAATAATAAACTCAGTTAAAAAAAATATGTTCTTATGTTTTCCTTTTGTAAAATGTATAAAAAATTTAAGCTGTCAGAATATGACTATCATACCCAAATGACAATACAATTGCTAAGCTGTATTATTAGATTCCCCACCTGAAAGATCTAGACCTAGATTATGTCCTATAGTCTGCAAAGAACTGTCTGCTTTTTCTAGTTAAGAAGTGCATTGCAGCTCCAAAAATGGCATGAATGATGGAAAGGAAATACCCGTAAGTGATGAAGTGGGTCAGGGAGAAACCAGCTTAAAACTTTTCAAAGCAGAAAAGTTTCCTTTTTTCAGAGTTCAAATTATGTTTCTCAGTTTGACATGCTGAAAGTACAGCAACAATTTAATTTTAAACATTTAAGTCTTGTTTCTTAGATTACACAGACTCAGAATGTTTTAAGAAATGTGGGGGACGTTTCCTTCTTATGAGGTCTTACAGAGTTAGGAATGATGCACACGTAGTACAGAAAGATGGATATTCAAATCAAGAGCCATAATACCTAACACATATGACCCACCTGTTCCTGTTTTGCCAACTGTGTATTTTGTTTCTCTGCTTCTATATTTTCTGTAGAAAAGCGCCTGAAGAAGCAGACAGATTTAGTCTTTATCTCTAGACAGACACAGAATACTTCTCTGTCCAGTGACTTCTCTTCAAGGAGCTAGAACCATGCATTACACCATGCAACAATACTTTGTTTATGCTCTATCTGCTAACTACCACAGACACACAGCAGATGTGCTCACTCAAAGGCATAGAAAACCTGAGTCTTGGTAAGGAAAACCACAACTACTGCTGAAATGGGAAAAGCAGTATACCTTGCTGTTACTTAATGCTACCAAAAAATGCAAACTCCAGAGGAGGGGAAGCTACCATTTGTCTACACTGCTATGTCTGACTTTCCTCTCTCTTCCCCCTCTGCAGCAGTCTTCTTTCCCTGTCCTAAAAATGTTGGGGGATTATAAGCAAGGAAGTACTTTTTAAGCAACATTTCTGATAGCTGCTAGAATATTTTAGAAATTAACAAAATCTGAGATTCTGTCTTTAATGATCCTCTAATTTATGTGCCTTTAAAGACCATGAAATTCATGCCTCCTGAGTTTGCAGACAATCCGAGATAACAGCTCAGTTGAACTGAATCATCTCAAAATCTAACAATGGGCAACTCAGATATTGAACAACGCCAGACTAACTGAACAGTTCACTGAAAAATTATACATGAAAGGAGGCACAACCAGATGCTTAGGCAGTCTCTTGGAAGTGATGCTTTGGTTTCACAGTATGAGCAGATCACATTTGGAGAACTCATTTTTTCCTCTTGCTCTGATGTGTGGCTGTGAATGGTGAAGGAAGAAAAATGGAGAGCTCTACTGTTTCCCCAGTGCTGCTGCTAGCCAGCTACTCCAACCAGAAAAGTCATCAGGAATGGTAAGTATGAGGTATTGTATTCCCGCTCCGAGTCTTGTGCCTGCTGCTGCCTTCCCTGTTAAAGCCAGTTTGCAGAATCTGGCTTCATCACTGTTTCAGTTGTATTTGGTTGTCTGGTTTCTACTTTTCTTTTCAAGCACCAGGGGTAGAATTTCCTTTTGTTGCCATAAAATCTGATGATAGTTATGTCCTTTTCCATCTAGCAAGCAGAGCTTTAATGAATTCCCATTAAGCAGAATAAACCAGTAACTGACATTCATTCAGAGCCATTTGTACGATCTACTGTGAATTGTTTCTATTTTGGGCAATTGAAGCGAACAGTTCTTGTCATACAAACAGAGCCTGGGGAGGAATAAACTACTTAGTTTTTCTACCCAAAATCAATTGTGACATATAATGTAGGAAGAAATAAAGGCACAAGATGTAGAGTACACATCCCAGTTAATAGTGTTGAAGCTGAAGTATTGGCTGAAATTTATGTACTCAATATAGTATACAGAACAGCCTAATTCAGTGAAAATGCCTTAAAGTATAATCTACCATGCGTTCTTGTCACTATATTTACAGATTATTGGTGATAATCTCAGCAATTGATCATCACGTGTTTTCCAGGTGGGGTACCAACGTGGTCTCATTTTCTTGAATGTTTCTAATTACTACTTACTAATCAGACATCCCCAATACTCCAATCATCCCATCTGTCTAAGAAAGGTAGTGCCAGCAAGCAGTTTTTCTGAACATCCCCTTCCACCACTTACTGGCTGCTAATCAATATGTTCCTGTAATTCTAAATGATTAGACTAGTCAGATAAATGAAAAAAGTGCATTATTCTTGTTGCTTACCAGATGGAGCTCTCAGACTGCCAGTACACCTGAACTTTGCAAAGAACATAGTTTTCTCTAAAGTGAAGGATCCACTCAGTTTTTGATGCTGCTTTACTAATTTTGGGGAGAAGATATTATTCTCACAAAAACCTGTATAAGTTTTGAAGAACAAGGGAAGTACAAAAAGAAGATAGAAAAAGTGTGACATTTCCCTTTCAATTTGACTATGAGTCAAATTGACTATGACTATAATTTGACAATATTCAATCTCACACATATTGACAACTTTCACATTTCCATTTGGAAGCTCAGTGGCTGAGAATTCCAATGGGGTTGCAAAAGGAAGGATGCCTGCATTCAAGCTAAGAAGGCTTGGGAGCTTCATAGTAGTGCTTTTGGTCCTTCCTGTTTTTCTAAAGCACCTGATAAGTGTCAAGTAATACATAAATTGTAGAAATACAACTTCATCTTCTAATTGTCTTTATCTTTGATGACATCATTCTCTTCCTGATGTTGAATGTGAGTAAACATACCTAGCACATAAGTGTTTAAAATACAGATTTTCTACTAAGGTATTATTCTTAGAAGTCAAACAAATGGATACTCTGAAATCAGCCCTTCATAAAAAGGACATATAAATTTATGTGATGTATTTTCTTTGAAATTCCTAGTATGCAAACTGAACATTGAACTTAATATCTGAACTATTAATAAACTTCTGAGGTTCTACAAACATTTGCATTTAAGCCAGAGTTTGTATATCTGCACCACCTGAATCCTAGCCAGGTACATAAAATACAAGCTATACGATCTGTAATCACGATTTAGATATAACTGTTGTAAGCAGACTTTCTTGGGTAGAGTACATGCATAAAACACTGAGGCATGTGAATTTACCAGGCAGTACTTACTGTGAACTTTTCCAATCCTGTGGCCCCTGCATTACCAACAAATATCCCAGAGCCAGATTCAAATACCAAGGCTCGATCTGACCTTTGAAACTGAACTCTCTGATATTCTTCGCAGTCCATGAACAAAGCAACACCATTGCCCTGAACAGTCACTGTAAACCTATTCCACCTGTTAGTCATGACTGGCACTTTAAATGAAGCAGCCTCTCGGGAGATATGGGAACCAGGCTCTGTGTGGTACATAATTATTCTCTGGGTGTTGTCATCAACTGATGAAAGTCTTATTCCCAGGTAAATAGTTTTCTGGAAGGCATCTGTTATTGCAAATAGCACTCCTCCACGATCACTGTTTGGTTTCACTGTAACGACGACAGCAAAATCTCTATAAAGAGGTGATGGTATTATGGCACTTGTCAATCGACCGATGTTAGCACCTGGACCAAAGCTGTAAGCAGGAAACCCTCCATAGCCGGTAACGAAGTAGACAGAAGGAGGAAGAGGAACTCCTATTAACTCAGTGAGGTCAAGATGTCCTTTTGAGCCTCGTTCTGTAAAGTGTGTGAGAAAAAATATGTTATTTAGTGTGCGAGAAACGTTCTTTATTTTTGAGGTGTTCAGCCCATTTAATATAAATGATTTAAGAAAGACCTTAAAAAACTGTAATGCAGTGTTATAATACCAATAACATACTTCTAAAACTTTAGGTCCCAGTTCAGTTAGTGCTTAAAAATGCCTAGCTAAGTACACGAATCATTCTTTGTCATTTGACTAACTAAGGTTACTCATATACTAAAGAAAAGAGCACAAAATCTGATGAAGTTGTCTGGTAACAAGTAGTTCCTGCAGCATATTTTGTTTCAGCTGTCCATAAACTACAAAAAGTGCTGAATGTGTTTGCAAAGTGGATCCAGTGAAGACTGAGCAATTTTTTGCTTTCTCGAATAAACTGAGATCCTTTATTCTCATAATCTAAGAAGGCAGTAGGAATTGTCTACAAACAGCATGAGAAGGTTTCACAATTACAGGAAAAAAAAATTACAGCGGATTTGCTTTAGCCCTTGCAGTTACCTGTTCTACAACATGGCTCCACTTAAACTGAGGGCCTTTCCTCCTGTTACTATCTCCTCTAATCTTACATTCTTAAGTTTCTTACTTCAGCTAAATGAGGTAAGTTTCTCATTTTATCTGAAAGTCTCAATTCTTCTTACTGGCGTACATTTTCACCCTTTTAAAAATATTTATGTTACTCAGAAGCAAACAAAGTGCTACGATTTGTGACTAAATAACTGCTGGCTTTCTCAGCAAACATAAGAAAAGGTCTTAATGATCCAAGAAAATCATATTTTTACATCACTTTCTTGACCAACTGCATCCTAGCCCCTCTCTACATTCTCCAGATCCTGGGTAAAAGAGGATATATTTGGAACCACTGTTTTGCAGTTCCTTCCTTTATCTGCTTCACACACCAGCCTACCATGGTTCTCAGATTAAATCCATCAGACAAAAAACTAGTGTGGAAACAGAGGTCTTGTGGTAGAATGAGTACAGATGAGGCAGTCTTGAAACTTCATTAAGGAAAGATTTAATTTATGTCTCATACTTCACTTTTCCCCATTCTACCAGCTGGTGGAAATAACCTATCTGGAGGAGTATCTGTGGTGGTGACGTATACTTCTTTGTACCTACAGAGCCTGACATCCACTAAGGCTCTTGCTGCCCAAAGGCACTTCCTTTGTGATATCTCTTCATCAGGAAAGTTCCTTAAGATGGTGTCCCCAGACAGCATTAAGCAAAGTTAGCTTGCTCAGTGGTCAATTTCCAACACAGCATGGGCAGAACTGGTGCCACCTATGGTAATCTAACACTGCAGACGTTTACAGGGGACAGGAGCTAAACACAGCTCATCTTTTATAAGTATATTAGGGACAACAGAGTCAGTCCCCCAATCTTTTTTTGAACAAGTACTTACAGAAGCTGAAAACAAGTTCCCAGTTTGCCTAAAGATAGGCAGTGAAGAGACACATGGAATTGGTTCCTAGCCCAGCTTACCTGTAAAGGACCAAGTCATGCCCAGATTCTGATGCATTTCACCCTCAGAAGACCTATATTTTGCAAGCAGCCTGTACGCCCTGGTCATGGGATGAGCTGAAGTTTCCTGGTTGCATATAAAAGCATGGGATGTATACATGCAATTACAAAGAACTTTTGCTTCAGAATTTGTAACACCTGGTTTCCTAGAATATGCGTTCTGCATCATTATTTTCATTTCAGCTCAGTACATCCTGCCAACCCAGAATACCTCAAGCTCTTCCTCATGTGCATAGGCTTATTTCTGCTTCTAATACCTGTAGTACTCCTGCATCCCTCTCCTGCCCTGGGATGTGCTAAAAGATACTTCCAAGCTGCATGTGTTTATATTACCTGGCCAGTTCAGACATGATAATTTGCCATGAAGAAGGAGAAACTAGATAATTAATTTCACAGTTCTCACCACATCTTTTTCTTGTTAAGATACTAAAGTGCCACTCCCACATCATGAGGTTTTGGGTTTCAAGAATATAACAGGATGGGTGCCCATTACATGCTTATATGGAGAGTCTTATTTAAAGCATTACACGTTTTTATGGAGACTTTATAAGTATCCATAAAAAGAGAAAATGATCTTACTATGAGGGAAACTGTACTGCCATTACTTCACTTTGCCTACAGTCTAATCTCTCAAGGGAGACAGTGACCTTCCTCCAGGCTTGTGATTTGAAACAAAACTGGTCAAAACAATTAAATTTACTGTAGATAATAATGTCAAAGTTATTGGTTGAAACATGACTTTTAATCTTTGTTCTATGATTTGTAAACATTCTTAAGTCCTTCATAATGTATATATTTGTGTAGTGTAGATTGATGAAGTATCTTCCAATTTTTAAACTTAGTTACCATAAATGTAATAGTTATATAGGCTGAATATATCCAAATGGGACAGTTCATATGTCCTGGGTTCAGCTACAGCAGTTATTTTTCCTCCTTCTTAGTAGCTGGTGCAGTGCTGTGTTTTTGACTTTCAGTCTGGGAACAACGCTGATAACACCGATGGTTTTAGTTGTTGCTCAGTAATGTTTACTCTGACCAAGGACTTTCTCAGTCTCATGCTCTGCCAGGGAGGAGGGGAAGCCAGGAGGAAGCAGAGACAGGACACCTGACCCAAACTGGCCAAAGGGGTATTCCATACCACAGCACGTCATGCCCAGTATAGAAACTGGGGGGAGTTACCCGGAAGGCCCAGATCGCTGCTCGGGTCGGGCTGGGGATCGGTCGGCGGGTGGGGAGCGGTTGTGTCCTCTCCCCTTGTTATTCCTCTTATCATTATTATTGGTAGCAGTAGTGGTTTGTATTACACCTTAGTTACTGGACTGCTCTTATCGCAGCCCGTGGGAGTTACATTCTTTCGATTCTCCTGTCTGTCTTCTTGGGAGCGTGAGGAGGAAGAAGTGGGGGAGTGAGCGAGCAGCTGCACGGTTCTGAGTTGCTGTCTGGGCTTAAACCACAACACCATATTAATACCACAAAGTGGACTGAAAAACTTTGCTTAAAATACCTAAATAAAATCAGGAAAAATAAATGAATCTTGCACTGGTTCTGAAACCTGTCCAGCTGGTTCTGATGAACAGCTAGAGAGAGGTTCTTCAGCTGAAATATACCTTTCTTATTTGTTATTCGTATGCAGTACCATACTGGGCTATGTGTTGCAAAGTAGTTTTCATTGTCCTACTGACTTTGACAAAGAAATGGTAAAATGTTCTTCCTGTGCCAAAGATGTTATAGTCCAGTTGAAATCAATTCTAATCTCTAATTTCTGTACTTGAGCTTCAGCACTTGATAACGGAGCTCATTAACTGGAAAAAGTCTGATGTTTGCCTGATAGATTTTGCCCCTTCCTAATAGTTTGAAATATAGACTTTTTTTTTTTTTTTTTTTTTTTTTTTTCCCCCTGGCCAAACAAAGCTAATGCTTTTTTTATTGTGAATCTAATATTGAGTCATGATTTATATTCACACACACATACACATACAGGAACATCAGCTACAAATAAAATGCCTAAGCAATTACTCAAATCTGAAAAGGTAAGATAAATAGAAAAGCTGAAGAAGAATATAGGACCTGTACACAGATACCAAACCTACTTCCAAAGAGCCATGGGAAAAGGGACGTAGAAAGCAGACGGAGAATATATAAGGTGGCCAGCAATCAGCTTATCAGACTTGCAAAGCAGGATGCATCCCAGGAATGAATCTAATCAATAGACCTGTAGTTCCCCACTTCCCATTCTCAAAGGAAGATTTTGCAAATATGAAAAAGCCTGTCAATTCTCCCCACACACTATGTGGAGCTGCACTCCAGGTGCAGTTTCCTTGTCACGCACCAAACAATAAAATACAGAGCACAGAACTCTTGCTCATTTAGCATAGGTTCTAAGACAAATGAAACATGTTTGCGAAAAGTCACAGCAGAAGACAGTAAAGAAGAATCAGAATTTGAGTAAACCAAGTCAGAAGCCTCAACAAATATCTGAACTTCAGTAAGACTGGAGTAGAAGCTTGAGTCTTTCCACTATAGAAAAGCAAAACAAGAAGCTTCTAGCCAAATTCTGTACTTACAACTCATCCCCAACTCTGTACGGATTTATGAGGATGTATAGTTACAGTTAAGAGCAGAATATGGACTTAGAGCCACAGGTTTTGCTCCCGTACAATTATGTCTGATAAATTAGTGTCCCCCTGTTGCAGTTATGTTAGAATAAAAATGCCCTCTTATTCCCTTAAATCAATGGGTAAACACTATGTTATGTTAAGTACCTTTAAAGCCAGCAGAACACTATGTTGCACTGGTACAATTTTGTTTCAAACATGTACTGTTACTAAGCCTCTGGATACTGGGAGCATCCAGAATTCATTACATTTACATCTGTGTTTCCTGGACCAGGGGCACTGGAAGGTATAGTACAGAAACAGCTTTAATATTAACTATGTTTTATCTCAAAAAAGAAAGCAGTAGAATACCATGAATTTGGATTGTATTTTTATAATTCTAGAGTTACGAGCTGTGCTATGTTCTGCATTTATTAACATTTGTTATCGTCTGTTGTAGTTGGAATTGTTACAGGATTTGCAGCTACCTGGAGAGTCTCACTGAGTAGCTTTGGGGTCTAGATGAGAAGTATCAGTGTGTTGTAAAAATCATTCTGTAAATCAATATTTAGATTATTTCAAGACTGCAGATGACAATAGTGGAGGATTTTTCGTATTTTAATTACATTTTTTGCACGTAATTACCTCACTGCTTCAGTACTGTAAATAGTGAAGCTGTAAAAACAACAATCCACTATTTTGGTATCAGAAGAGATCTGGTTTCCTAATTGTGTCTTAGCACAACAATCAGTAACAGTGGAAGAACATGAAGCTCAAAATGGACTGGAAAAAACCAGGCAAAGCTCTTTAGAAATAGGCAGGAGGTCCTCCTGGAGTATATTGGTATTGACAGTTGGAGCATTTTCTTCTGGATGCCTAAGAAAACCTCAGAAGCTATTTTTAGTGGTGTTGCACAGCCAGAAGTAAGGCTGCAGTCAGTAGGAACTGTGGTATTTACTGACATGTAAAATCAGGCCCAACATTCTTTTGTACTAACCATTTTCCAACACTTTCTGCCAACTTCTGCTTTTACGTCATTATCATTCTGCCCTGTACTGGACAAAAATGTATGTAGTTCATGTACCTAAATATAGTTCATTAAATTTGCATCTATACTGCACAAAATGGTACTTTTTTCCCCCATCGTATCTTGAGAAAATTAATTTCATCACAATGCTTTCAAGCAAACCAACAAAAAAATTTTGTCTTACATATAAGCTATATTTTTCAGTTTTTCTGATCTAATACTGGACTACTTATAGTTTTATTTACTGCTTGTCTAGAAGATCTTCCATATGCATTTTTGTGCACATAGCTTTTTGTATATGAACCCAAGGTCTTTTAATATGTATTATACTCAATGAACTGTTCTCCTTTAATAACAAAAATCTGCATTTAAAACATTGTCCTGGTTTAGCTGGGATAAAGTTGATTTTCTCCTGAGTAGCTGGTGCAGAGCTGTGTTTTGGCTTTAGTCTGAGAACAATGCTGGTAACACTCTGATTTTTTAGTAGTTGTTCAGTAGCACTTACCCTGATCAAGGACTTTTCAGTATCTCATGCTCTGCCAGTGAGGAGGAGGACAAGAAGCCAGGAGAAAGCAGAGACAGGACACCTGACCCAAACTAGCTACAGGGGTATTCCATACCACAGCACGTCATGCCCAGTATACAAACAGGGGGGAGTCACCTGTCACTGCTCAGGTTGCGCTGGGTATTGGTCAGCAGGTGGCGAACAATCGTATTGTGCATTATTGTTGGGGTTTTTTTTAGGCTTTCTCTCTCTTTTAGTGGCTCACCTAGTTCTCTAATAATGAACAGCTGTGTGCACGCGTGTAGTTGTATTTATGACAGTAAAGAAAAAATAAAAAATTATAGACTTTGTACATCTCAAAGAATTAGCACAAGAAAAGGGAATCATCTTTAAAGCGATACTTTCATGGGTAACTAAATGGCTCAAAAGGCCTCATAAGCAGAGTGTGAAACAGGCATGAAAGGAGTGTAGCAAGTAGAGAGAAAAGTTTCAGGGAGCTGCAAGGTCAGAAGGAGAAACAGGACTGATTTCTATATGCACTAGTGAAAAAACAGTGAAGGCAAATTAGTAAAGATGCCCTTCATGTAAAAAGATTTCCAGATTTGCAGGAATGATTCTCTGTGCTGTTCCATAAATTTCTTTATCTTGTAAAATTCTTTACCTTGTAGAAATCAATACCAAGCTCTCTATGAACATGAGATAGATGAGTGATGCCTTCTTTCTCTGAAACACATGGTTGTGGGAGGAATGGTTCAGCTCTGGATGGTGACAGGGGTATTTTCAGGATAAAGGCGGCATGACCAGGCTTCACTGAGTTAGAGGAAATTATCAAGGCCATACATTCAGCCACAATCCTGGCTAAGGTAGTTCGACAAACAGCAGTAACAGCAGGAAGGTAGGAGAGAAGGAGAATTATCTGGAAG